CCTGGGATCGAGTCCCGCATCAGGCTCCCTGCTCAGCAGGGAGTCTGCTTCTCCCTCTGACCCTCTTCCCTCTTGTGCTCTCTATCTCTCATTCTCTCCCTCTCAAATAAATAAATAAAATCTTTAAAAAAAAAATCTTCTGCCCTCAAAGTCTGTGAATTAAAATATTATTGGTTGAAAGGTATCAATGGCAAGAAGAAAGAAAATCAGGGAGAAGATAAAACTGTAAGATCTCTGAATAAAATGACTTATAAAAAAATAGAATTGTCTTAGTGTTAGTGAGAAAGAAAAAATAAAAATAGGAGAACAAAGACTCCTAAGAAATTTAGAAGTTAGTAGAAGACAATACGGATAAATAAAGACAGATTAGAAAAAGATTTGGTGTGTAATGAGCTCCAAAAACTTTTATTTGTAAGGCTCCAAAGAGAAGTTCAACTTTCTAGGTTTCCAATTATTAAGAGGATGTTAATATTTCCAGGTTTTACAAAGTAAAGTACTTACATTTGGTTTCCACAAGAAGGTGATTCCTCAAGAAAAGGTATGTGATTTGTTGATCCAGGATTACGCGGGGTGCTTGTGTGAATATTTGAAGCATCATGTGTTAATCTCGGACTAGAGTCTTGGGGTGGTGTAGCAAAACTAGTTAGAGAAGAATTATTAGATCCATTGCTTTTGCTCCCGTTACATTGCTGGTTGAGCGCTGACACCTCATTACCAAGGCTATCCATTCCAATATTTAATTCACCAAGCTTTTGAATGGACCTATAAAATAAAACAATGCAATTACATTAAAATGAAAACTTAATCACATTCTTAATATATAGAAGAGGGAGCACCTGAGTGGCACAGCCAGTTAAGCGTCTGCCTTCGGCTTAGGTCATGATCTCAGGATCCTGGGATCGAGCCCCCACTTCGGGCTCCCTGCTCAGCGGGGGAGTCTGCTTCTTCCTCTCCCTCTGCATCCCACGCCCCCCCTCCGCTCATGCTCTTTCTCTCACATGCTATCTCAAATAAATAAATAAAAAATAAATGAATATATATATATATAAAAGATTAAAAGTTTGAGAAGGTAAATACAGGCACAAATAATATATAAATGGTAAGTTCAGTACTAAAAAATTACCATCATTGGCTTAACACATAACCGAGATACTGAAAGATCCAAACTTTCCTATAGTATGCCACTGTAGAATATAGATATTTTACCATTTTACCACATTTTACCATAAAAACATAAAAAAAACTGTTTCTTCTCCAGTATAACTTTGGTTTAATTTTCAATTTAAAACTTAATTTCCCAAAATAGTCAACAAAAATATCACCACTACCAAAATTTCTCACCAACAAAACAAAACAAGCTATTTTCATTTCATATCTCTAGTAATATCCTATCAACCAGGAAATGTATGATTAGAGTAGGCCATGATGGGACAAAGTCAAGTGGCATCCTATTAGTCACACATTCATTCATTCTACACAGACTATCTGCCAGCCTCTGATCTAGGTGCTAAGGACAGAGAGCAGAAAGCAAAACAAGTTAGCCTCAAGGTCTTTCCCTCATCACAAGTCTTCCTGTATCAGGGTAGATGGACTTCTTTTGTTGAACTCAGTACTCCAAACAGCACAAAGAGGAAGGTGACAGACTCTGTTAAGATTTAGACCCAGAACTGGCCCTGCATCACTTTCTACAGCCTAGATTCAATATGAGAGAGGAGTACACAAGGGGTATGATTACCAAGAGGTGTTATGGTTTATTGCATTTTCTAGTTTTCCTACATTAAACATTAGAGTGAGTGTGTGTGTGTCTGTGTGTGTATTTAGGGCTTAGAAAAGACTTTATAAAAGAGCAGTTCAATATTATTAAAGGAATTGGCAGCCATTACTAAATATATATGTTAATAATTTTAACTAGGCTGCATTTCCCAAATTGTGTCCTATGAAACACTAATCCTGTGAAATGCTCCCCATAAAGAATGAGTCTGAGGTCAAGTCATTTTGGGAAACACTAAGTATAAAGTCTAAAATGCTAATATCAGGGGCACCTGGGTGGCTCAGTCGTTACACATCTGCCTTCGGCTCAGGTCATGATCCCAGGGTCCTGGGATCGAGTCCTACATCGGGCTCCCTGCTCTGCGGGAAACCTGCTTCTCCCTCTCCCACTCCCCCTGCTTGTGTTCCCTCTCTCACTGTCTGTCTCTCTCTCTGTCAAATAAATAAAAATCTTAAAAAAATCTATAAAAAAAAAAATAAATGCTAATATCATTTTGACTCTAAAAGTGGGGAGGATGAGGCAGAATATGCTTATAATAAGTGCCAAATCAATGGTGCTGTTTATTAGTATTAACAGAAACAAAATATCAAGAAGTATAAAGTAGTGATACAGTACTGTTAATAGTCCTGGTATTGGGGGCGTCTGGGTGGCTCGCTCAGTCGTTAAGCGTCTGCCTTTGGCTCAGGTCATGGTCCCCGGGTCCTGGGATCGAGTCCCACATTGGGCTCCCTGCTCGGCAGGGGGCCTGCCTCTCCCTCTCCCACTCCCTCTGCTTGTGTTCCCTCTCTCACTGTGTCTCTCTCTATCAAATAAATAGATAAAGCCTTTAAAAAAAAAAAAATAGTCCTGGTACTGGGGGCGCCTGGGTGGCTCAGTTGTTAAGCGTCTGCCTTTGGCTCAGGTCATGATCCCAGGGTCCTGGGATCGAGCCCCACATTGGGCTCCCTGCTCCGCGGAAAGCCTGCTTCTCCCTCTCCCACTCCCCCTGCTTGTGTTCCCTCTCTCGCTGTGTCTCTCTCTGTCAAGTAAACAATAAAAATCTTAAAAAAAAAAAAAATAGTCCTGGTACTGGCTCAGATATATAAAACTAAGGGCCTAGAAAAAAGGGTTGAATAAAAGTATTATATTAAAGGGTTAGAAAAAAACAGATGATAAGAGAGAACAACTGAGAATTTATATGAAACTAATTTACAAAAGCTAAATAACGAAATAATTTGAATTCTATTTATAATTGTCTTTAAAGGAAGGACAAACCATCTTGAACAGTTTAACTTTTTCTGAGGAAGTACATCCCTTACCACTATTAGGAGGATCACAGAACCTTGCCACTTTATCTTCTGATTTAATGCTAGCTATCTGCTTGCACTGAAAAATAAATGGTCAGGAAATCCAACTGCAACCATGATCTTTATGGATATGAAGAAGTCATCTAAGAACCAGAAATGGCAGTTGATGAAAATAGGATAATTCTGATAAGCCACTGACTTATCAGAGGTGATAAGAAAATGATCCTCAAATGCAATGTTCAGAAGCGTATTTAGACTCTTTAGATTACCACTATAACCATTCCTTGTGTGAAAGTTTGAAGACAGAATCAATTTCAGGCTGGCTTGCACAACCCTCAGAGTATCAAGCAGATTACTTCCAGTATTATTGAATCAAGTAAAGAACTGACAGTCACTACTACATTGCCTAATCATAATTACAATAATAACCTACATTTTATGGTACATCGCCTATATGCTAGGAATTATTCTAAGTAATTTTTTATATATTAACTCATTTAATCTTCTAACAACCTTTTGCTCATTTAAGTAGTGGGGTGCTTGTGTGAATATTTGAAGCATCATGT